GACTGTGTAACTCTCGCAAGACATATTAATTTGCGTGTCTCGAACGTATATTTCCTTGATCATAAATTATAAATCATAAATAAATTATAAATGAAAGTAGGTTCAAGTAGCTTTAAAATCGTCCATGTCTTGCCCAAATTTATAAGCGCAAGTTAAAGACGATTTTCATGTATATGTACATGTATATGTACATGTGTACATATGAATCCTTTCTCGGTGATATATTAGAAAGCATTACGACAAACTAATAAATTTGAACCCAAAGTCGTATCACCATTATGATACCCGTTACCTTAGTAACAAGTTATCCTCGGAGCTAAGAAATGTTCTGTAATGCAGATAATGCCCTTGGCATACGTTCAACGCGTGTTGAGCATCGTTTTCACAGACAATCAACGAATTTTCGAACAATGGATGTAGCTCATTATCTCAGATTAATAGTTAAATGATTTTAGAAACAGCTTATGGATATATGCAATTAGTAAAGATATTTAATTAAAATTTAATTAAAAATCTAATAGAATGTGACAAACTTAAAAATTATTACACACATGTTAACAAAAAAAAGTAAATTATTGTATGTACATATATAGCTACTATGTATGTTCAAGTTCGTTAATAAAGTTAGACTATAGATCTAGAAATTGTTCATTTAAATGAAATCTTTTAATGGATGAATATGTACAGAATTTTTTTCCATTGAAAAGTAACACGTCTCACGAATTTCGTTGATTTATTTACTAAAATTTTGATATATTAAATACATTATTTCATATTCAGAATTACCTAATATACCATTGAGTCATAAAAAGGTACGCGCATGATTATCTTCTGTATACAATATTTACTATGCATTTATCGTTACAATGGCAAAGAACAAGTTATAATTAGTAACTAAAACTTTGAAGAACTCTGTACCGATTTATTCTTTATCATTATTAATTTCGATATACAGAATGTTTTAAAATATACTAGCGTAACTAAGAAAAAACCAGCAAAAAGCATTATAAATATTTGTTTCGTTCCACTTTGTTTACAAGGTAATTTTGTATTCCAAGACTATTCAAGGCTGCAGATATTATCTTATCAATACTTTATATTCTTCGTAGATACAACCTCGCTGTTCATAAATACGTACTTCCTTAGTACATTATGAATCCTCTCAGTTTATTCACTTAATAAAAGCAAATTTCTGCTGTTGTTTAAAATATTTAACATTTCTCCTAAAAACAATTCCGAGACATGCACATTTATAATTTTTCACGCCTTGAGAATATTCACAAATAACGAACGTGATAAGTAGTATCGATAATAAGTGAAGTAAAGTATACCAACTCTGTTTATAAGAAGAATTCTCGAAATAGTAGGTTAACTCAGAAACAAGATCAAATAGCGTTTACAGAACTGTGTTTACAATGTTGCGAAACCTGCATATATTAGAATCTATTAGGATCTGTTCAAACAATTTTCGTAGTTGTGTTAAAGAGAAAACGGCTATGTACAGACAAATTCTCGTAATCGTTGCGTTGGTGCGCACTAACGAAAGCATAGCTGGTGAAAACTGTTCGGGGAGCGTCAGGATGCTCGGCGCCACATTGCTGCGACCCAAATAGTAATAATAACGCCGGCGAAGGAGGGTCGGAGACGCTGTTGCGAGTGATGGAGGACGAGGAAGAATGACCGTACACTACCTACATTTGCTTGAACTTTGGACGTAGTGAGCCGCTTCTACGTAACGTTATTATTCGCTGCCTGAAGTCAATGATTTTACGAAGCCATCGCATCGATAACACTTCGCTCCGTTGCTCGTTTGCTTTTCCACATTCTCGTTGTTTCGGGATGACAAACGTACGCGCTTATACCCGTACGACGAAGCGGAAAAAACAATTCTGATCTCTGTGCGTGCATATCGACGATTATGTGGTGGCTGTTTGCGCTAGCTGACGTTCGTCGCGAGAGATATCCTGCTTTTCGGAAAAATATCGTATCAAGAAAGATATTAAGGGAGGAAAGAAGAAACTTTTCTCATGTTGATAAATCAGCAAACGACATCCGCGAAATGTTCCTTCGGAGAAGTTCCGCCAACCAGATGTAATAATAAGGGCAACGTGGGTGGACGACCGGAATGCGGCTTGTCTAACGATTGTTTCCGACAGATCGCCGTTAAGTTTAGCAGGAATAGTTATTCCTAATTGGCTAATTCGTTCACATTCCAACTGCGTGTATCGATTTCGGTATCAGATGGCTTTTCAACTAACGCGTAAGGTTCGCGTTTGACGCGTTCACTGCCACGATGGTCATCGGTGACTCTGGTTTCGTTAAATCGTTTGGAACGATTAAGATAAATTTCATCGATTACAAAATTCTCGACGATGCGAATGATCCAGATATAAATGCGCGCAAGTGCGATATAATATTTTGCAAAAAATTAAATGTTACGGAACATATTTGAATCTATTGTGGCTCCCAGGGCAGAGTACAGAACATCCCCGCCGCAGATTACCTGTTAAGTAACAGTTTTGCTTATCGTTAGTATAATTAAATAAGAAATAAATAAAAAATAGACTCTCGCCTTATCTGTATCATAGTATGCACACTATTTTAGTCCTAAATCAGATTATTTCATTCATTTTCATTATCAGTAGTTTCAGATTAACAATTTTATATTGATTGAACGACGAACATCGAAATTCTGTTCGCATCAAAACATCCGCAAATATGTGTATAATTAAATGTAATTTGTTCTTGTTCTATATCAGCAATGTGAACTAAAATAATGTCAATGCGAAGCTTGTCGTACGAAAGATAAGGAAAAAGCGTATTCTTGTGTTCGTGTTGCTCTCATCCTTCGTAGGGTTTTACAAAATTCAATTTAATTAACATATTTTTCAAACTAATCTTTTCGGACATCTTAGTATTTTCTTACCTGGATGAGAAAACACGCGTACTGATCCGTGAAGAATAGAGACATGTAGCGTCACTTTAAAAAATAATCAATACCATGGAAAACTTGAAAAAAGCGACGTTACTGAGAAAATCATGAAGCTCAAAATGCGAATTAGAGGATCCGTCGTTCTGAATCGAAAAACTTTGCGCAGAGACAACTCTTTTATCAGTAAACGTAACTAAAATCTTAAGGAATTGGAAATAAACGAAATACTTTTTACATATATAATTTGTACATATTGTACGTAATAATACATAATTCTCTTATGTGTAATCGTGGCCAATTTGAAACATACATATATGGTGGCCAGTTTTTTCTATTGTTCCATAAAAAATGATGCATCGCAGAAGACTATTATGTCAGAAACAGAGAAGATATTACAATTCGTGATTACTCATCCTAGAAAGTGTATCAGCTACCGTAATTTCTAATGTTCTTAACATCTTAGCCTTGTCCTGGAATTTCATTCCTTTTTTGATGTTTAGAGTCGTCTTAAGAGGCCATGATTCAGACATACGTACATACGTAAATGCTTGAATGCAGCTTACATTCGTAACAAGACGCGATAGAAAAATACACATCTTCTCTCGAGAAAGATATGTGATGCCCTTGGAAAACGGTAGAAGATTGATTTTTTATTTTCACGATATATTTTCATATGTTTCGTCATATCTTTCATCTTAGATTTATTTTCATGATTCCTCCGAAACCACTCCGAATGTGCTTTAAAGATTTCCTATTTTGTTAAAAACAAGCAAGGTGTGTAAAACTATCCTATCCATACTGATTGTGAGATGAACTTTGTTCCATCGTCTTCATTGTACAAATAAAAAATGTATGGCCTATAATTGCAAAAATTATAAACTAAAATTGGTTAGTAATCATTGTTTTCTTTTTGGCAAGTGCCGTACGTTTGCAACACTCGTAATTAATTATTACTTTATATTTATTACGTCTTAATAATCTTCTTACAAGATGATTTATATATTATTAAGTTTGGTGCAAACATTTCAACCACAAAACTTCATACAGTAGCTTGTAAAAATTGTTTTTATAACTGTATATTCATTATTATATATTATTATAATGTATACATATATATACTATATATTATTGTAATGCTTGTATTTAGTATTTTGAACTTAAAGGATAAAAGAAATAAAAAATTTTCACTTCATGGTTTTGGTTTTATGAACTTCTTATTCTTTTGAGATAAAATTAAAACAATTTACTTTAGATTATTATATATTAGGTCGTCTGAAAAGTTTCTTTCGTTTTATAAGGAAATAATGAATGCACAACATTTTCCGTTTTATATTACTTTATTGAATTATATGTGATCCATTTTGTTCTATCAAGATAAAGATCAGAACGTTTGATGGTTTAGGTTTCATGTTTGTATAAAGATGCGTCGTTGTAAAAGACGTGTCTGTAAAAAAAAGACACTTCCCGGACAACCTAATACATATATCATAGATTATTTGCGAATATATCACAGATTTAATTAGATTTTAAGGATTATATTATTTTGTATTAAATAAATAGAATAACTTATTCGGTTTCGGTTTCTTGCAAAATGAAAGCAAAGTGCCAGGGGATGGGCTAGAAATAATAAAATCTATTTACAACCGCTCTGGAAAGTAAGTTAACGATCTTACGTTTAAACTTCCAGCGAAAGCGTCAACTTACTTTCCGGGACGACTGTATGTACCAACTACTTTAGATTGCGTAAGTTGCAAAAATGTACAGTGACGCAGTATTTTTTTATTTATAATATATATAAAACCACTTTGTTTCGTTCTATTTTCCTTTTAATTTAAACGGTATCATTTTCACGCACTTGCTATATCTTTTAATAGATACTCTTTCTAATAATATACATATTTTATTTTTATTACATTTTATATTATCCGGACGATCAATTAGATTTATCTATTTATTTATTTACTTTATCGTAATATATTAATAATGAAATGCCATTTTTCCAGACTCTATTCGTGAAATTGAGTAACTTTCATTGTGACGATATCATTGAAATGAAATATCTCTCTTCCAACGATATGTTCGTGTCAGGTAGGACTTCTAACGAGAAAAACTATAAATTGACACAGAACATACAGAACTGTGGTCGTCATGGATGAGAATGTCGTAGATCGATTGCATCCTGTACTCTTACATTCGCATACAAATTGATAACTATCGCGTGGGTAACGACCTCTATAACATTCGTTGTCAGCACTTCCCCATTTTGCACACTCGCGTATTATTATGTACTCGTGAGAATTCATAAAATAATCTAAAAATTATGTGATTAGTTTACAATTTTTTTACAATTTATCTTCTATATCGTAAAGATATTTCGAAAAATAAAGAAATAATAGTTTAATGTACGTGATACGAGTGAAAGATAATGAAACTTTCAAAATAACAGAAAGAAATAATTATAATAAATAAGAAGAGAAATGTAAAAGAGAAATTGTGATTATCAACTCACATATGTACACAGCTTTACGACAAAATGCTTGCGATGAGGAGCATGGCTTCAAATATCTTATATCCGCCGTATTAATAGTGCAATCTTGATCCCTTTTACTGTTACATTGATAACACGTAATAGCTTTCGATTCTTCTTATACGTGTCAATAACGTATCAGATATGAATTTGCGTATATAATAAGGTTAATACAAAGTATGATAGTATTAACATCATTAATGAATAACATATTTTATATAGCATACTTCTTACGCGCTTCTTCATTTTGTTTGTTATTTATATTTATAAAACAGAATATAACAAAATTTGAAATAAAGAAACGTTTGAAAATTTTTCCTATAATAGCCATAAAGAAAATCGAAACGAATAATAGGGCATTAAAGAAAATATGCAAAAAGAAACTTATTCTAAAAGTATTGTTCGCTTTATTTGTGTAGTTTATTGCTTCAATTATACTAACAGTCAGTATATATCTGTTTGTATTCTGTTTTATGCATAATTGATAAACATATATTCTGCTTTATCTACAATTGATAAACATGATATTTCTTTTATGAAACTTACCTCTTTGGAATACAAATAAAAGCAACAGTACATGTAATGCATTTATTTTTACATGCATTTTAAACTTTCTTTTGCGTTCCTATATTTACAATGTATTTAACATTTGTTCGCCAATTGTCGAATTTTCTCAAATTACAGCCACTTTATCTAAATTACTGCGACATTATCTTTTATTCTACTATCCTAATATGTAGCTAAAAGAATGATGGGAATGAATATTACTATTGAGAGTAATAATAATAATGATTGAAAGGTTATATAATCATACCATGACAAATGTGACCAAAATAGAAAATTTATTTTCTGCACTTTTATCCACGTATTGCAACGCTTTATATAACTTTCTATATATTAACTTATACAGTAATAAATATTGCCCAAGCGAAACAGAAACAATCAATTTAATTTAACAATTTTTCATTAACTTTGACATAAAAATTTAGTAAATACCTCATAGACATAAACGTGACGAAATCAATACATAGCTATTTTCGTGACGCGTGGAAAAATTTGTTTCTAAAGTGTCTTTAAATTTAATTTCATGTCATCACTAAACAGTGTTACCACTACAGCCTTAAAATACAAAAAAAAACTATAAAATAATAAGAGGAACTATAAAGTTTCATTGAAACAAAAATAATAATATTAGAAATATTCAATTTAGAAAGGGAGGTAGCTTAATTTATTATAGTTTTACTTATTTTTAAAGAATAAATTCAAACTATTATAATTTAAATCTTCATACAAAAAAGTGTAATTATAACAATTTAGCTCAACAGTAAATTGCAAAATCTTAAATATTAATATTTATATCATAGGACAGTTTCGATTCTTTTAGATGAAATATAAGATAACGTATTTGTTACTGTTACGGAATAAAAATTTCACGTGGAAAAATTTGCAAGTAAATTAATATTTAAGAATTATTTAAATGCTTAATAAAAACGTAGAAGTAAATTCCTATTTTATTTCCTACTTGAAGAGGTAATATCGCATTCAGGAAAACATGTTTGTGTGGTATAAATATTCGTGTAATCTCATTTTTAATATAAGTATATTTAGGTATATTATAACATTGATAATATTATATATGAAATATCTACAATTATCAATTGATTCAAATATGATGATGAAATGTATAAATTTGTTAAATACTTAAAAATAGGGCAACGTTATACTGTTGACAGCACGCGTTATATATATACTAGTTGTTTTAAGAAAAATACGTATTTCATATTCAAGATATGAAATATTTCTTTCAATATCGTTACATAAGATTATCGAATATGGATAAAAAAATTTAACTAAATATGCATCATGCGCATTATTTCATGTCTTTATATAAATTCAATGTAAATACAAATTCTAAGAAAGATTTTATTTTGAGTTTTATGTTTATTAAGATACACGCGATGTTTTACACAATTCAAACGAAATGTATTTCTTAAACGACAGGTGAGTTAATAATGAACTTGGAAATTATTCGAATTATTCTATCTCTTAGAATGCATATAGTTTATAATTTATATTATATTTATTTATAATTTATGATGTATATAAATCATTACACATAAATTCTTGAAATAACGTGCAAAAATTGAGAAGAGTATTCGTTGGCAGTAACAGATTCCTCATTATTAGTAGAAAAGTGATTCCATTGTTACATTTTTAAAAGATTTCAGAATACTTATCACTTAGAACATAATCATCGAAGTGGTGTCAGGGACTCACTATGTTGCTAAATAAGTTAAATACTAACTGCGACGAGCAACGTGCAGTGAAAATCAGATCACATATATGACTTTCAGTAAATTCAATACGTTTCAGTTCTGTATCATTTTCACAGATTTTATTGCGAAAATAATTTTACTGTTTACATTAGCCACATCATATTCTTAAGAAGAAACGTGTTCTAAATTAATGCAAACATTAAATAATAATAATACGCACATAAAAAATGTCAAACAATCTAGTTATACAAGCAGAAATATTTCTAATCAGTATTTCCCTAATAATTAGGCATAGATCATAAGATATTACGGTTATTAATTATTTGTTATTATATATTACTGCCAATTTTTTTTATTTGTTTTTAATTAGCAACATATAAAGGACTTATCTTTATATCCAAATGGGACAAATAACAATAAGTTGAAGTATTTTGTTCTCATTACTTCCGCTGGCGAGTTTAAAAAAATAGGTCATAAGGAACGATGATTCAGAAGCTTAATAGCAAGAGTGGAAAGATATCCTTCACGTTCCTTTCCGTATTGTTCGCGTGCAACTTATTACAGTAGCTTCCATGACATTTCATGACGTTCAGTGTGTCACAGGAAAAGGGATATTATCCACTTATCGTGTTCCAAACCACCACTTTACGCTCCATTTGAACATAAAGCTCTTCGTACCGCCCACGGCCTTCCCTATTTAACATCCAGCCCTGCCTTGTCCGTCAAAACAATCGTATTTTTTATCATCAACGATTATGGCTTTAGATTGCTACAGAGAGTTAACATTCTAATTATACTTTCTAGGAGGAAGTAAGAACATTCCAACGATATTTGTTGTTTATTGTCATACATAGATATATTTAACGTTATATCTGGATAATTTTTGGTACTTCTTAAAAAATTAATTTGAGTTTCATTGAAACAGGACAGACAACGTTTGTATGGTTCATCCCAAGGATAATCAATTCTGAACCTTTGAAACGACGAGATGATATACGCTGGCAAAATTTTAAGAGATTTCGCGGACAATTTCAAAATCGCAGGTTGCATATACTTTAAAAATCATGAGTAAATTAGAAAATTGTAATACCACCCACTTGTATGATATAAACGACGAGATTGCAAAATCGTTTCGGAGGAAGACTACCAAATCAAGTGAACATAGTGTGCATAGGTGAACTCGTTATTCATGATAATTTAAGAAAAATTATACAGGATGTTTCACAAAATAAATTTAACTTTAGAGTGTTGATTTCAACGTTCGCCTATGTTTCTGTACACGATTGCGTTCATAATCACGAATAATGTAAATTGTTATTTACCATCGTACCATTTGCCGATACGAACTATCAGTTTGAATTGGTTTATCGATATCGGATAAAACGCAGGTGTACTTGCTACATTTTCAAGATCAACTTTCTCGAGGACCAGCCCTTATTTAAGAAAACGTTGGTCTTTGTTACGAATCAATCTTTTTTTTATATATATAAGAAATCATACCCTGTTTGATAATTCTACGACACTTTCCAAAACACCCCACGCGTCTCTTGTAACAAAATGCTTCAATTAGATTTCTGGTACTTATTAGTTACCATTAATAAGAATATGGAGTATTTTTTACGTAGATTTATCGTCACTAGCGATATTTCTAGCGAAAATAAAAAGTGTGTAATCACTGAAACACAGTAAAAATCAATCCCAGGTAGCAGCAATCCTTCTACTGACCGTTCGTCAAAAATATTGATTTCTTGATATGGCGCGTATAGCAGTAACGATAGAAAATCTGTGCAACGCAACGTGGAAAACGGGAATCCAAATCGCGGACCGCAAGAAGCGACGAAGCTTTCGCGCGACCGTGGCTAGATCGTTTGGTCCTTGGATTATTCGTTGGGGCGAGATCGTTTTTCCCATTCGTCTCGCCTCGTCTTGTCGACCTTAGTATTCCTCGCGCGCAATTACGTATTCATGATTCTATCAGTGGTGTAAGCTTCGTCGCCTTAGTTGCGGGCTTGCGCTGCAATCGCGCCGAACGACAGCCAACGCGAACAGTGCTTCAGCAGCTGTCGAGGCCGGATGGTTGGCCTCGTCAACCCCTGATCTAACCGCGTTCTCTCTCTTTCCCGCCGCTCGGTCGCGCGTAATCTACGCCAGTGACCGCGAGAAACGTTAATCGTAGAAGGACGTGCCAGGATAATACCGAAACCAACATGAAGCGCTTTCTCATCCTCGTCGTTTGCCTATTGGTCATTCTCGGTTTTTATGGTAAGCGTCTACGCGTCGAGTCTGTGCTGTCTTTGGTTCAACGATCGGGGCGGGTTTACGAGACTGCTTCCTATCGATCCTCGTATCCTTCTCTAAAAGACCTACTTTCATCGCCATTTCCTTGTTTTTCTTTTTTTTTTCTTCGTTCCTCTTTGTTTTTTGTTTGTTTTTTTTACTACATTATAGTCGTATAATCGTAAAAAGTTCATCTCCTGAATCGCGTCGTTCAGTGTGTGATGTAACTGATAAATAGTTCGTTCTCCGTTTCTCTACGATAACACTTCGTTATGTTAACTTACATTCTTTAATTGAAAAAATAATTACTGTACTTGTTTTAATTTGATTGTACGTGCGATGTGCTAGTATATTATATAATTTTTCTTTTATGTTTTTTTATCTTCCTTAGCTACTACTACCTAAATACAATTGAAAAATATAATATAAATTAATCGAAATTCGCGACACATTTGCTTTTAATGTATAATTCTTATTCCCTTTTCCTCCATGTTTGACCTGTTCCTTTTAACTCTCGTCAATAAAGTGATGGTATACCCTATTCGAAAAGTGGATCAACTAGCTTCCTCGTTCGAGGGAAGCGTTTAAATGCGACGTCATTGTTTCAGCTGATTTAACAATAAGCGTGTATAATGTGCCGTTAGTTGTTTGCGGAAGCAATTGAATATCAAATAATTTTCATGAAGTTAAACGATCGAAATTGTATGCTCCAAAAAGTACCTATAATTCCGCGGTTTGATTTAACCAAATGGACTGGTGCAAACGTTAGTGAGATCAATGACGACCAGCTATGCGCAAAGCAGTTTTCACATACGCAATACATTCGAAGTCACTTGTATAAAATTTCATGTTTATCGTGGAATATAAAACTCAAGAACAGAAAGTGGTTACTTACATCAATATCAATATTGAAATGATATTCGACATTTTTATAATTATCTTTTCGCTTCTAACATTTCTTAATTTGCAGTCCGTTTAATCTCTGAAGTGATTATGGTGTTTATTGCTATGATAGTTCGTTATGTAAATTATACTGTTAGACATTCGTTATTTATGTCCTGTTACGCTCAGAAAAATGAATGACCGTAGAGACAAGATTAAAACGTGAAGACAAGCGCGTAAACTTATTGTAGCTATGCCTTTCCAGGCCAGATAGCTGCATTGATTTTTATATCAGTAGGGTCGGAA